AGAGTTGCCCTCACAGAAAATGTCCAACACCGTTTTTGAGAACTAACCTAATTAGACATGGAAACCGGAAAATCCGCAGGGGGAGGGAGGGTCCTTTATGAAGCAAAATGCTCTTCAATTATTAACCAAGTTACTTTGATTTCAAAAGTAGCTGTGTTTCTGATGAGTACTGAACAACTGTGTGTAAGTTTCTGTGCCGGCCTTTTGACTTTGCTTTCAAGCGCTGTAATGTGGGATGGATGGTTAGAAACAATAATATATTAAGGTTTCTATTTAACCCTTTCAGGACTGAACTGTATCTCCTTTCATTAATTTTTTCCCTGTGTCGTGATAAATGTTTGCCGGCATTCAGTACTGCGTTAGTCCAGATGTAGATTTCTATGCTCATTTTTAGCTGATTTCTCATACCTTGTGGCATGCTCTATGCAATCAGTCCTTACGGGGTTTATTTTACAGACTGTGAACCTATAAGGTGTATTAGCAATAAGGTAGAAAATCGAGCAAGTTTATACCATAATTTTGTAGGAAAAAAAAAGAATCAGCTCAGTTCCATATTTCATCCATGAAAAACCTGCAATACGGGCAGTTTCCAGGAATAAATAAAAAGGAAAATGTAAACCATTGTAAAAAAAATAAATAAAAGTACCGGCTTGTTGTTTTACCCAACTTCACCAAATGCTTTGCCGGCCCTAATATTCCTTTTCCTGATATTCCCTCTCTTCCCAATTTTATATTTAATATGCCCAAAGTATGGCTAAAACTATTAGCCTTATCTGAGCTTTCTCTGTACCCCTTCTTTTCTTTTGGTCTTTCAGAACTTTAATTTCATTTTTCTTAGTGTATCACTGGTGATCTTCAAACACCTCTACTCTTCCTCTACCTTTTGCCTATTGATAAAATGATTCTTTCACTATGTCCCAGACACATCCTTTTCTCCATCCTAACTCTGGATTAGCCCATTCATTTCAATTCAGAGAGCACAAGCTCTACAACCAAGCCTTAGGGATGAATAGACCATCCTGATACTTAGGGACTGTATTTTTCTATTGGTTCTGACAGCGAGAGAAGCAAGGATCCCTCTTGGATAACAGAGAAAACCTTTCATAGCTTAGGACAATCTGCAGCTGGCAACTTCTATAAACGATAAGAAATTTCAAAAAAAATGAAGTTGCCTTACTAAAAACAACTGAAAACAATAACAAAACTAATCTAAACTCCATTGCACTAATTATTTTTCTTTCCAAGAAGACTCTTAGTGTAGTGGTTAGGAGCATGAGCTTCGGAATGAATGCACAGGGCTTTAACCTCAGGTTAGCCTCTCAGCAGGAGTGCGAAGGTCATCACTTAATCTTTTTTTTTTTTTTAAACTTTTATTTAATGAATATAAATTTCCAAAGTACAGCTTATGGATTACAATGGCTTCCCTCCCCATAACGTCCCTCCCACCTGCAACCCTCCCTTTTCCCACTCCCTCTCCCCTTCCATTCACATCAAGATTCATTTTCGTTTCTCTTTATATACAGAAGATCAGTTTATCATACATTAAGTAAAGATTTCAACAGTTTGCTCCCACACAGAAACATAAAGTGAAAAATACAGTTCAGGTGAAGAGTTTCTATGATTTTTTCAGAGAAGGCATTCCATACAAAACAGCTACTCAGCATAGTGGATTAGCACTTGTTTTCTGGGGCAGATTCAAGCCCTGTCAAATATGAGTTTGGATAATATATTTAATCCGTCTGTTTGGATAATAATAGGATCTTCCTCAGAAGGTTTTTTTCATCTTATTTTCATCTTTATTTTTAACTCTTAGGAGAGCTTTATTTATTTTTTTATCTTTTTAAGCTGCAGTTTCCTCCCATCAATGGAGGCTACTAGAAACTAACCACTGGGTTTCTTTATGGACTTCATGAGATAGTGTAGGTTTAGCACTGGACACCTGGCATATGGATATTCAAATGTGGTCAGGTTTCTTATTATCACTTTATCAATATGCAATTATCTCATTGTTTGTTTTCTTGCCATTTTATCACTATACTCTTTTATACTTCTAAATTTATTTTCTAGAACTTTCTAAAATATATATTATATTCTTAGATTCTGATCTATACTTTTTTAACTTTTATTTAATGAATATACATTTCCGAAGTACAGCTTATGGATTACAATGCCCCCCCATAACTTCCCTCCCACCTGCAACCCTCCCCTTTCCTACTCCCTCTCCCCTTCCATTCACATCAAGATTCATCTTCAATTATCTTTATATAAAGAACATTAGTTTAGTATATACTAAGTAAAGATTTCAACAGTTTGCACCCACATAGAAATAAAAAGTGAAAAATACTGTTTGAGTTCTAGTTATAGCATTAATTCACATTGTACAACACATTAAGGACAGAGATCCTACATGAGGAGTAAGTGCACAGTGACTCCTTTTGTTGACTTAACAAATTGATACTCTTGTTTATGGCATCAGTAATCAACCTAGGTTCTTGTCATGAGTTGCCAAGGCTGTGGAAGCCTTTTGAGTTCACTGACTCTTATCATATTTAGACAAGGTCATAGTCAAAGTGGAAGTTCTCTCCTCCCTTCAGAGAAAGGTACCTCCTTCTTTGATGGCCCCGTTCTTTCTACTGGGATCTCACTCACAGAGATCTTTCATTTAGGTTTTCTTTTTTTTTTTTTTTTTTCCCAGAGTGTCTTGGCTTTCCATGCCTAAAATACTCTCATGGGCTCTTCAGCCGGATCTGAATGCCTTAAGGGCTGATTCTGAGGCCAGAGTGCTGTTTAGGACTGATCTATACTTTTGCCCTTTATATTTCACCTCACTCTGTTCTTGATACTTTTTTCACCATAGAAACTCTTAGGATTATGATTTTAATGTATTTCATGATCATTTCAGTATATTTTTTACTGATGTTCTGTGGGAAACTTTTAGGAGCTGATTGATTTTCTATAAAATATTCATATGTGTGTATGTGTGCATATGTAAGCAATAATTATATAATTCATATTTTTATGTAATTTAAAAATGCATATGTATACACATATACATATATATTTATAGATAATATGTATAAATATAAGTACATATGTATATATTATATTTACATTTATTATATTATATTTAGCATATGTATATATTTATACTTTGAAAATTTCAGCATATGAGTCAATCTTTCCCATAGAATGAAAATAAAAAGCAATCATCAAAATATTTTTAGAAAAACTATGAAAGAATTAAGGTAATTCAAATTATCATTTTATATTAAGGTATTTATACAAGTATATATGTTCTTCATCATGTCTGAATTTCCAGAATCAGATCATGAAGTTAATCACAGTTGACTTGTGTTTATCTAAGCCTTTCAAACTGAAGAGGTGGCTATTAAACAAAGATGTGGACATAGTAAAATCCTGTCTTGGTGCTAACAAGTCTCTGTAGTACCCTTTTTATTTCCCAACATTCCTCTTCTGAAGTCTTTCATTCCCTTATCCTGAACTCTACTTTTATACTAACTAGAATTAGTGCTGTTAAACCTAATTTTCATGGGCTGGTGCTGATACTGGCATTCCAGCTGGATGCTGGTTCCAGTCCTTGCTGCTCCACTTCCAATCCAACTCCCTGCTAATGGCCTGGGAAAGCAGTGGAAGATGGCCCAAGTGCTTGGGCCTCTGTACCCACTTGGGAGACTGGAAAAAGTTCCTGGCTCCTGGCTTTGGATCACCCAGATCAGGCCTCTCTGTTTATCTCTTCCCCTCTTTATAACTCTGCCTCTCAAATAATAAATAAATAAATCTTAAAAAAAACCACCTAATTTCCATCCATCAGTAAAAGAGACCTATAAACTCTCCACATAAAACATATTAACATCCATAACTATTCTTTTTTTTATTTTATTTTTTTTCTATTTTTACTGTTCCCGCCTTACTTATGTTTGAACTGTCCAGTCAGGGTGGGTAGGAGGGTATTGCCCAGAGCACCATCATAACTATTCTTTAGTGTTCACATTCCTTTCTATTTTTGTTCTAAGTCTGTGTTATTTACATGAACAAACCACATATTGGTTTCCAGTTTTCATGCCACCATGATAGCTACCCAAAATGTGATGAAAAGAAGAATACCAATGCTAAGGCCTGCTACTAGCATAAGGATAACACTTGAGTATTTGTTTCTGTCACAAAATTTAAAAAACCCTATGTGCTATAATAATTTTGTTTGCTTCAAATTATATTAGCAAATATGTTAAAATTGGGTCAAATATAATTTATAATAAATTATATTCTAGAACTGATAAATACCATTTAACAAAACTGCATTGGCAAATTATTTCAACTAATTAAAACCCAAAAGGAAAATACAATCAAAGTAAAATAATTACAAGACATTTGGCATTTGCTTAGTAATCTTTTCATTTAGAAGAAGATTTCAATGATGACGTATTAGGGTGCTACAACACAGTCTTACATACAGATACTCATGCAGTATTTTGTATTACTTCACTTAGATGGACTAATCTTGCTCTTTTCACACTTTTTTTTTTTTTTGACAGGCAGAGTGGACAGTGAGAGAGAGAGACAGAGAGAAAGGTCTTCTTTGCCATTGGTTCACCCTCCAATGGCCGCCGCGGTCAGCACACCGCACTGATCCGAAGCCAGGAGCCAGGAGCCAGGTGCTTCTCCTGGTCTCCCATGGGGTGCAGGGCCCAGGTACTTGGGCCAACCTCCACTGCACTCCCTGGCCACAGCAGAGAGCTGGCCTGGAAGAGGGGCAACCGGGACAGAATCTGGCGCCCCACTGGGACTAGAACCTGTTGTGCCGGCGCCGCAGGCGGAGGATTAGCCTAGTGAGCCGCGGCGCCAGCTCTTTTCACACTTAAAGGGAAATTTAGGTCTTTTAAATTTTAAATTTGATTCAGGAGTCATAAAGTCAAAAACAAGCTTTGTGATGTCATTGTGACCAAATATGCTTATTATCTCAGTGTTCCCTCACATCCACTCCCCAGGATTCTTGGCTTTGTTCTTTGCCCCAAGAGCTGACATCTATGCATGCTATCCTTAGAATTTCCTGTTGAGATGGGTCAGTAGGATGCTATGGCCAAATTTTTAATATGGGAAGAACAGATGCCAAGGGGCCTTTAGAATAAGCCATATTTTTATGTGGAGATCCTGGGTCCCACAAGTGGCCTTAGGAAGCAGAGCCTCAAAATGAGATTCCAGGATTGGGATGTTCACATATTTGAGAACAAGGGTAACTTCCTGGCTGGACAAGAAATGGCATCACTTTATTTACATTATGGTGTGCCATGAGGTTCAGGGAGAAGGACAAGTGGTGAGAGCTCAAATGGCTGTGGTGTCTCGTTTTTATAGCAACAATGAGGTGGATTGTGGTGGTAGACCAGTTAGCTCTAGCTGCTCTTGGAGGTTTACACAAAGAAAGGGATATATTTAGAAGTCTAGAATCTCAGCTCAAAGCACTAGTTGATAGCAAATAGTAAGATCTGGGTAGAGTCAAACACAATAAGGACTCAATTTTTGTAGGAAAGAAGGCTTAGATAACTCTATCAAAGAATTCTGTTTAGTTAAGTTTCAGGCAGAGTGAGGCAATGACTAAAAGGAATCTGTTATTATTATTAATCAGTTTATGCCTTGTGACTAGTCACAGAGCAGTCATTTCTAAGTTAATTGTTTTTACCTCTCTCCACTTTGCATTTTATGAAGAGGACTAGTGGTGGCCAGTGTTACAAATTAGTTTCCAGCTGCAGGCATGACAGAACTGACATCACTCAACGATGATACTGTGACTGATGAGAGCTCATTTCTTCTGTGTGGAGGATGAAAAGTTCTTAATACAGATAAAGGTCAGGTGGATGCTGAGTGGTGACAGAGGTGGCTGTGCTGGTTACTCTCTGTTTGCTCCCCCGACACGTGCTTTGATCCATACCCTGGCCTTTACTCTGTGTGCCCCAGAACACTGACCTCTATGAATTCCACTATCAGGGTTCTCTTGCTCATTGTCAGTTGGTTTGGTCATAGCAAAGCAGCAGCGTGACATTGGGAGGTGTGAAGAGAAAGGGGTTGGGCTAGGTTTTTCCTTTTCTGCTACTTTTTTGCAACCAGTTTTGGTAGGAGCTGCATTTTATATCCAGCCTTCAGCAATTCTTCTGTGGCTACGGCCTTTTCTCAGGTTCTAAAAACACTATTCCTGGTTATTGCCCCTTCAGTTGTGGGGTGGCAGTGATTGCCCACTATTGCTGGTCCCCCGGGTATTATATCAAGATGGTTTTGTTCTGTCACCTTGCAAATACTTCTTTAGATAATACTTTGATTTAGCTCACTCAGCTACAGCCTTTGTATTAGCTGTTTTTTCCCTCCAGCTATTGAGTGATACACCATAGAAGGAAGGAGAAATTGAGAGGGTTGAGGTAATGGCAGTCATTGACATTGGGATGTGGCTGTAACCACTAAGAAAGAGGCTTCTAGGAAAGAAGAACATAGAATTCAGGAAATATCAGCACAGCCAACAAGTGCCATGCCAGGTGACCAATCGTCGTCATTACAGAGTAATGGGGGAGGGGCCGGTGCTGTGGCACAGCGGGCTAAAGCCCTGGCCTGAAGTGCCGGCATCCCATATGGGCGCCGGTTCTAGTCTCGGCTGCTCCTCTTCTGATTCAGCTCTCTGCTTTGGCCTGGGAAAGTAGTAGAAGATGGCCCAGGTCCTTGGGCCCCTGCACCTACATGGGAGACACAGAAGAAGCTCCTGGCTCCTGGCTTCGAATCGGTGCAGCTTCGGCCATTGCAGTCATCTGGGGAGTGAACCAGAGGATGGAAGACCTCTCTCTCTCTCTCTGTCTCCACCTCTCTCTGTAACTCTGTCTTTCAAATAAATAAAATAAATCTTAAAACAACAACAACAACAACAACAACAGAGTAATGGGGAAGAAGTAGGAGTGTGAATTGACAGAAAAATTGGAGTATTTAGGGAGCCAAGATTCCAGGGGAATGTGGTCTTTGGGAGATCCTAGTATCCAGGTAAACAGATGAGAGAATTAAGGTTTCCAGGATTTCAGGGCTTCAGATTAGAATTCCAGTCTCTGGCACTTGGCAAATGCATGAAATGTCCCTTCTAGATCATTCCATGTCTGAACAGATTATCAACCACTGGTCACCTGCTCCCATATTTGTTTGCTTATTCTTACATTTATCAAGTATTTACTGAGCCTTTTCTGTATTATAGGCCCTGGACCAACCTCCAGGATAAGATACATACCCTGATCTCATGGGGCTCATAACCTACCAGGAGGTGAAGGCAGGTATGAATGTAACTGCAATCATTGTTACTTGACATTTTTATCTGTGTATATTCTGCAGATACTGCCAACCAAATATGGCTGGAACTCAATCTATTTTAAAAGACATATCTTCTTCTCCTCCTCTCCACCTCATGATTAGCACTGCTGTGTCCTTGTCCCAAGGAAAAATGATGTGAATCCCTTTAATAACAGGCCCTGGTTCGTTCCTTGATCTGACAGAGTTGATCATCCCTCTTTTTATCTACTTTATATATTATATTATATATTAGAGAGCATTTTTCTTCTTTTTTTTTTTTGCAAACTGAAGGGAGAGCACTTTTCTCACTTATGATTCTGATGCACATTCAAGGCTGGCGACTGATATATTAGGTATAAATTCATCTTCAGCTGAGGTCAGACTTTGTTCTTAGATAATGGAGTAAGCAAATCTATCTTGTTAAGTGGTGTAAGGCGTGGGAGCCAGGTGGTCTTTGATAGAGATGTCAAAGATACAGTGAGGCTGGCTATTCAGGGGGGGATTCTCCCTGATTGTTATCAGATTTTTACTCCTTAGGGACTGACTTGCAAACCGAGCTCAAAAGAGATTGACAAGACCAAATGCAAATTTGTTATTTGTTTGCACTAAGAGGCACGTGCACTACTTGCAATGCATCCTATCCTGTGTGCAAATGTCTGTTTTAGCCAGATGCAACCCTTTCTTGAGAAGTAGATATAGCATCAAGTGAAAACAGTTCAGCTGTGGCCCCTCCTTTGCAAGGGCATTGTGGGCACTAGAAGCAGCAGGGAACCTTAGTGTGTTCTAAGTAGAACACGGAAAATCACACTTGCAACCAGGAAGAATTTCTGTGTAAGCGCTTTAGGAAAGTTACCTAAACAGATATCAGAAGCATGGGGCCTGTATTTCCAGGTCTCTAACAAGTTATTACTGTGTATCTTTACTGCTGATTTGAAATTCACAGCTTTGTATACTTGATTAAAGAAGATCTTCCAGGTAGTGTTTGAGGCATTCCAGATTTTAATGTGCCCCTGTATCTCTCATGTAGTGACGTGGCTACTCTGTTGGCCTGGCAGAGGATTCGCTGTCCTGGGCAAGGCTATGTTCACTGATTTTTAGATTTCATGCATTTCAGTGCTTCTGTGGTTATATTATTGCTTCAAGCAAGAAATAAGCAATTATTTTACAGTCCTTTAGCCATAGAAGTCTTCTTGAGGAGACAAAGGAGTCTCCTGGTGGAGTCCCAGGAAATTCTCTTTAGCATCTTCAGTGATTCATTCAAAACATTGTCTATCGTTGGCCACTCCTGGATTCCATTTCACCTGTTTCATTTCTGAGTGATATTTTCCAACTTTTTCTCACATTCTTGCAGTTGGCATGCCCAATGTACCCTGTAAAATAACAATAATATCATTTTCAGTGTGATAGTCACCAGTTCTCTGATCAGCTTTTTGTATGTCTACTTAACAAGCGATCATGTGTTACAGACAGGGATCAAGCAGTAAAAAACAAGTTCGTTTCCACCACATTATTTTCACATGCTTTTGTAAGTGAGATACTCCTATTAAATGGGCCTTTAGGAGTTACCGGCTCTTTCTCCAAAACCTATAGGCATAATAACTGTATGCTGCGGCTTGGAACAGAGGCCTTGTGAAAGTAGAATCTAATGGCTGCAGTGTTATCTGCAGTCCAGATGGATTTCATAGCTCCCAGTGAGGCTGTGCTCAGCTTCAGCTCTTCCAGATGTTTAACACAAACGATCTTTTGAAGATCAATCTTGAGAGGTAATCTTGACTTTGTATTCCTGCCTATATAGTTTTTGAATGTTTCCACCTCTTTGTTCATTGTGTGCTTTTATTTTATTTTGTGCCCTTAGACAGTGATACATGAACTATCACCCCAGCATTTGAGGACAGTTATTGTATTTTGAGACCATTTAGTCTGCTAGGGCTGCTGAGACAAAAAAAAAAACAAAAACAAAAACAAAAAAAAAAAAACAAAAAAAAAAAAACACCAATTGTGTGGCTTCAACAACAGAAATTTCTAGTTCTGGGCATTAGAAGTCCAAAATCAAGGTGTGCTCTGTGGGAGGATCCTTCCTTGCCTCTTCCAGCTCCTGGTGGTTCCTGACATCCCTTGGTTTGTGCCAGCATAACTCCAGTCTCCATCTCTGTCTTCTCATGGCTTTCATCTCTATCTTTGTGTGTACTTTTCTCTTACATGTTTAGTTTAAATGGATAGAGAGCCTACTCAAAGTCCACATAGTCTTATCTTGACGCTTACCTGAATAATATCTGCAAAGATTTTATTTCCAAATAAGGTCACTTCACAGGTTCTTGGTGGACATATTTTGGGGGCAAACTATTAACTCATTATGAGGCCTTTGAACTCCATTAGGTGCTAGAAACAGTTTCCTTCCTGTTGAGAGCTGGTATACCAGTGTTTTCAGCTGGTGATATGACCATGCCTGCAAAAACTATGGAGCTTCCCCAGCAGCAGAGAAGTAAGGACTTTAGCAGAGTGCTTAGAGGCCAGGAATGTTGCTAAACGTTCTACAACATATAGGAACCCCCATCCCCAACAAAGAATGTTGAGAACCAAAACTTCAGTGGTGCCAAGATTGAGAACTCCTGCCTTTTCTTCCCCTTGGTCTTGCCAGTCACCAGGTCTTCCTTCTTTCTGGCCTGTGATGCCCACGTGGTTTGGTACATATTCTCTCTCTCTCTCTCTCTCTTCTCTCTCTCTCTCTCCCAACTCCTGCCCTGTCCCATGTCTTGCAACTCTTTCATTGTATCATCTGGGATTCAAGGTCCATCATCAGTAAAGCAGTCTGTTTCTTCACTATCTTATCTGCATGGTTTCTTCACTTTCCTGCTTTCACCTAACCTGGCTTCCCCAGACAACATGTTTTCCCCTGCAACCAATTAAACTAGTGGATTTTTTTTTCTCTGCCATATTCATGATATTATGAGGAATGGGGCAGTGCCATGTGTTTGACTTGCTCTTCTCTGATGCTTCCAAACCCATACCACTCTTTCTCTAGTACTTTGGTTTCAACTACTCTATGAGGACAAAAAGTCTCCATCTTTAATTTTCCACAGGTTCATACTTCCTTGTGTCTGGTTTTCATAGTCAGTCATTGAAATATGCCCTTGTTTCTTCCCATTTTCTGTTCATATCCTTGTTCTGCTTTCAGTTACTTTAAGAAAAAAAACCCACAATTGAAGTTCACCTTTACCTACTCTGGGTCTTACCTTTGAGAAACTGAACATGGCTGGTGAAAAGCATGCTGCCCTATCTCACCTTTAATGTCATAGAAATACCTCCATTGGACCCCAGAAAGCTTTCCATTAATTTTGTTGTGTGTTTAATTCTTTTTCCTGTACTCCTCGATGAGTGAGTCTCAAGGTATGGTTCTTACTTGTAGCATCAAATTTACCTGGGAGGAATGTTAGAATGTGCAATCTTGTTCCCTGTCCCAGATTCACCAAACCAGAGACTCTGGGTATGAGGCCAGAGTGCACAACCCTTCTGGCTATTCCAGTGCACACTCAGACTGGAAAACCTGGGTTCCAGCCACTGCTGAACAGTTAAATATGGTTCACTGGTTTTTAAACAACTTATTTGATACATAACTCAAATGCCAGACAATTTACCCATTTAAAGTATACAACTCATGAGCTTCCAGTATATTCACAGATTTGTGTAATCATCACCACGAACAATTTTAGGACATTTTTGTGACCAAAATAAGAAATTCCATGCCCCTTATCAGCATCTCTCAGTCCCTTTAGCTCTTCTTCCCTCTGGCAATCACTAATCTACTTTCTCGTTGTGTACACTTGTCTATGCTGGAAATTTCATATAAATGCAATTGTATAATATGTGGCTTTTTTCCCCAAGAAGGACCCCCTAAATATGACTAGTAGCAGAGGAACTGACACAATTTTCTCTGCTTATTTCTGCTTATTTCATCTTATCATGGCAGGCTCTAGGGTGTAAAGGTGCCGGGGTTGTGGGGAGAGGTGGTTGAGCAATCCTCTAGGACATCACTATTTACACCCAGAATCTGGTGGCAGGAATTCCACTTTAGATTCACAGGGGTATGGTTCCTGCTCTTCCTTACCTGAAAGGATTTTTAAACTCCTTGAAGATCAATAGGGTATGTTTCGATCCCAACATACTTTGGGAATTAGGCAACATCAGCAGTTGCATTTAAAAACTTTTCTTTCCTAAAGTAATTCTTATTTTATATAACACTTGAATTTGTATTTTCTGTCAAAGAAAAAGTTCTATTATAATAAAAACAATAATTTACTAAGGCAGGTAGATGATAGGCGATATTGTAACATTCATGCAACTTTTAGAGAAACAGAACAAATTTAGGAATTTGAATTTGAATTGAATTTGAAGTTGAGTTCTTTTTCCTACTTCTCCCAAGTAACTACTTCTTTTCCATTATGCTTCCGAGTGCAATGAAAGGTGAGGGGCAGATGAAACAGAATAAAATAGTAAGCCCCAAGTTCACCTCATATATGCTGAGAACATCATTTAGTCTTTTAACAACCTTGTACATTCCCCACTATCCTGATAGGAGAAAGTGAGGTGAAGAGACCAAGAGACGTGGTAGTGAGTGGCAAAGGAAGGATTAACTCTGGGTCCCGTTTACTGCAGTGCTCAGGTGCCTGGCTCTTCCTCTCCAGGACCTCTCAGGAATAACAGGAGAAAATAAGGAACAACTAAGGAAGAGAGAAGGAAAGCAGGCAAGAGACAGAGAAGAGCTTGAGCAGCCTAGACTCAGCTTCCCAACTTTAGCATCCTGTGTGGGTGGAAGTGGTCTCCTGTATTGAAGGGAACTGGGGGCTTCAATGTAGGAACTGACTGGGGGTGTATCCAAGGCTTTTTCCCTTTCTCATTCATTGTCTATTTTCATTGTGAAGAAATTTCTGAGTCTTGTGACTCTTATTACACTACAACGAAAAAATGGTTTAAACTCCCCAAATGA